TTCATTCTTAGTTTCCATAGCCATCTGCTGCCACCTAGCAGAAGAGTATTGGATTGACACACACTAATTAACACCTGGAAGGTTTTAAAGGTGTCATTAATTGTTTTGTTACAAAAAAAAACCCACAGTGTCATACAATTTGGTTCTGTCACGTAAATCTCGACGTAACATAAGTAACTTTTGTATTTTTTTTTTGTCTCTCTCTTGTCCCTAGGGAGTTGCTGGAATCTCGACGTAACATAAGTAACTTTTGTCTGTATCTTTTTGTTTATCTCTCTTGTCCCTAGGGAGCTGCTGGCCAAGTCGGCCCCAGAGGACCTCCGGTACATACACATTTAAGCACAAGAGTGTTATGAGTTCACCTGCACCACTGTGATTCATGAGTTCCACTCGGTCTTTTTCAGGGATATCTCGGGTCACCTGGTCCTCCGGGTCAACCGGGAATGAAGGTAATGTGCCACAAGGACTGACACATTTGTGTCAAATAGATTAGCATTTATCTTTCAGAGATCAACAATGTCTGCTGGATGTTTCGATCAGGCATTCTGCATGGATATTACCGTATTTTCTGGACTATAAGTCACACTTTTTTTCATCCTTTTGCTGGGTTTGCGACTCAGGTGCAACTTAATTTCACGTGCGTTATTTTCACAACGACAGCCGCTAGAGGGCTCTCTAAGGCTTGCGTACCAGGATCTGCTACTCCTGTACCACTGAAAATGTGCACGTTTTTTATTTTCACACTGACAGCCACTAGAGGGCATGCTACGTATCTGACTGGTGTGACTTGTACTCCACAACAACTTGTTGTTGTTTTTTTTCTTCATTATGCATTCTTTGGCTGGTGCAACTTATAATCCTGAAAATATGATACATATTTGACATTATTTTACATATTTTACATTTTTTTATCACTTAATTATTGATCATTATTGGCTTTTTTTGTAAATAAAAATTGCCAGTTTTAAGCCAATTAAAACACCAGGAGAAAAAAAATGTCAAATGCAAACTTACAGAGCGTTACAATAGCCGAGAAGGAACATTGTTTCGACTAGTGTAAAAAAAAAAAAATACTAAAAATGCCCATTAACGTTATCAAAATTCTGAGCTATGCTAGCAGGTTTTTTGTTTGTGTATTAAAAAATGCAAAACAATTATTGATGCCTGTTCCCACAAGTTACCTGTGCAGTGACAGGTAGATTTTTTGCACTTGTCTTGGAGCGGTGTGGAGAAGCTATGTTAACATCGCTGCCTCTACAGTGGCCTCATAATGAGATCATTAATTTGGCCTGGGATCCGAAGGAGTCCGTTTGATTTATTTAGCCGAGCCATTAAAGTGATGAGTGGCTGTTAATTTACAGCCAGAGTTAGGTCAGTGTGTGTGTGCGCGCGCGTGTGTGTGAGGTTACGGCTTCACACATCATAAAGGTACCCCCTCTGGTAAACAAGATTACGCACAGTGAGATAGAATTACAGCCACGCATGGATATACACACCCCTGCTTGCTGATGACTGGGCAAGGTGGCGATTCCTCTGCTGCCCTCTCGTGGACATAAACCGACATTACATGTATTAGGAACGTAGGAAAGTGAACAGAAACATTTCTCTCTCTCTCTCTCTTTCTCTCTCTCTATATATACGTATATATCATATATATACTGTACAGGTAATGAAAACGTCAACAGGGCAAACTTAGTTTCAGGATAAGAATTAGTGTCCTGTTAAAGTAATGGTCGTGGTGGGCATTAAAGTTGATAAGATGAAGGTTAAGGCAATACATTACATGTGTGAGTGTCCTTATAACTACGAAGAGAGAGGTGGAGTGTGCCTTTGTGTGTGTGTTTGTGTATGTGTGTGGACCTGTGCCATCTAATTTCTCCTACGGCAGCCTGCAGACTAAGCCGTCATGCACTCCGTCACATCTAACCCCAAGCGATGTGTCTGCCTCCTTCATCTAATTCTCTCCCTTGTCTCTCCCTCTCTCTCTCTCTCTCTCTCATTTCCTTTCTTTCTCATCCTTCCATTTTTTTTTTCTCGACCACCGCTTTTCTCATCTATGCTTCAAAAATCCTTACTTCATGCAGGGACTCCAGGGGCCCCGGGGGCCACCCGGACCAACTGGCCAAGACGGTCCCAAGGTCTGTATGCTATAATTGTTATGCAAATGATCTGCCCTCCCTGAGCTCTGAGATAGAGGCTGGGCTCGTCTGATGTTTGGCACTCCCGGCCTCGTCTCTTAATGTTAATGTGAAGGAAACTGCCGTGAGCGTGCAACTTCTTAAGATTATAGTGTATTTGTTTGTCACTATTTGATGAGTACCATGCTAACAAGGTTCACCAGGCTGACAAGGGTTCTTAATATTTAGACTGCCATTGTGTAAAAATACACTTTCCTCGTCTCCGTCTCCGGGCCATCTCTGCTCTTTCTACTATAAATATTAAAAAAATAAAATAGTTGTTTTAATGGGTATCCCTTAATACAAAGGATAATCCTTACAGTTTTTTTTTTTTTTTTTTTTTACTGTACTTCTGTGAGGCAGTGTGACTCACATGAATGCCTTAAGAAAGACGTCTAAAATTAATCAACCAAGACTTGGATATTGAAATTCAAATTGATTTGGATTTAAAACCCCTTCAGCTTGAATTTATTTTGTGTTCAATGGCTTCAGCCTTTGTCTCTTCCAAGATTGCACAAGGACATAACGATATTTTGCCTGACCTTGAAATGCATGTAACACAGCACGAAGCACAATGTGGAAGTAGAGACACAATTGAAGGATCAGCTTTCTCTCATTAATACACAGTTATTGAGTGATGAACATTATGGATACATTTGCTTATGTCCGCGCCCACTTGTTGTGGCTGGACCAGTACAATCACAACACATTTATCTATAAATAACAATAAGTCAATTTTTTTCCTCTTTGTTTTCATGCAAAGAAGTACAAGTATATTAGCATTGAACCCCCTAGCGGGCCGATGTTGGCCCACAGGCCCTATGTTTGACACCCCTGATCTAGGACATAAAAACACCCGGAACACACGTGTCCGACATACGCTTGGGAGCTATGATGGAGGCATGAAGTTCCCAAAAAAAAAAAACACAACCAAAAAAAGCAAATGCAGCATAATCCAATGTATGGTGTGTAAACACAAATATAAACAACGCTGTCTTCTGCATATAGCGTCGTGCGAACCAGTTAATCGAGGACCCCTGTATTTAATCATCAAAGCAGCCAGTACTATCAAAACAGATCAATTTAAAAACGGTGCTATTAAACACTTTCAAATAATCATTTAGTAAATGTAGTTCTTCTTATAACTGTACCTTAATTAGTTGATTCATTAACAATGATGAATATGACTTTCAAGGCCTTAGAATATATAGTACAATGATGGTACATTTCTATATTTTTAACAGATTTGATTCATTAATCATCACTAATTATTGCATCTTTAGCAAACAGTAATGCTGAAGATGAAGACCTTGAATATTGGCCAATACTACCAGGTCTTATCTCTGCATGTGTCATTGTCTATAAGTCTCTTGAAGAACTGTTGGTTTGTTTCTATAGGAACCTCCCTTTCAGAAGATACTTCCTTTTACCTTTGTACGAAAAAAAAAAATCTTTGAATTTATTTATTTTTTAAACAACTTTTCTCCTCCCAGAGTCAAATCTTTGTTTCATGCCTTTTTCAGTCACCGCTTTCACATCATAAATTACATAAATAAATTCAAAAAAAAAAAAAAGTGCTCTGTGTTGTGTTCACACCTGCTCGTGCACCTGAGCATCCGCTCTGCTCATTAAATCCCTGCAGAAGTTCAAACAGCGTGCGATCCATCTGTGGTAGACTATGTATAAAACAAACACACACACACACACACACACACACAGACACAGTGTGTGTCAGTTACCCGCTGAGGATGCCTTGGCCTAATTATACTATAAGCAAATATTAAGGTTACTGAAAACATCTCGTGTTTCAGTGTAACGCTACACTTATTATATTTTTTAAACAAGTCTGTTCTTCTAACCACTGGAATGAACTGCAATTATAATTTAAATGTGTGGATTTAAACGACTTAATTAAATTAAAAACACACATTTTACACTTTTTTTTTTAAATAAAATGCAAAAATATTGCAAAAACACTGTGTAATTATAAAATAAAACAGCCATATCTTAAATTCTTTGGTGATTTCATTCTCAAAACATCATTAAAAATTTTTTTTAACACACATATTTGACAAAAGCCAGTTATAATTTATTAGGATTATTTACGGTATTTTCATTTTCTTTCAACTTATGCAAATTACAGGAGCACAGTACGGTGTCGAAAGATTAATATTGAGCAAATGCAAGGCTTAAAAAAGGGCAAAATTCTAAATTATATTCTTAATTTGTTTTTTTTTTTAGTTTCCAGCCTGGTGACTTTAGGCAAAACCTGATTAGATTAGATAGGATTAAAGTGAATTGATTGCACATTGGGAAAATGATATGATGCAACAAGAAAAAGGGACAGGGAATGACACAAAGGGGAGAAAAAAAATGAATAAAAAAAGATTAAAAAGTCAATATGTAGTCAAGTATAAATCAAAATAAAAATACCAGATATTATTGAAGATTTAATGTATATTTCCTTCAATATTTATGAATATGTATGTAATTATTCCATACAGATAAATAAAAATGCGATGACCGTTGCAGCTGCTTGTATTGTTGTGATATTGCACAAGAAGCAGAATGTGTTGCACTGGTTATGATTTGTTCTACTTGTTGTATTTGCTGCGCATTAAATAAAAAACAGCAAAATCAAAACAGAAAGCAATTTGGAGGGTAACATGAAAGACAAACTGGAAATGAAACAGTACTCAGGACTAATTGCTGTTTTAGCACAATGCCAAATACTAACAAACTAAAAACCAAATAACTAAAATTGTGGTTTTGAAGTCTCTTGGGGGCAAATCATGTATTATTATTATTATGTTTTCATACAGGGGAAGTGTGGAGATCCTGGTGTGGTTGGGACTGTTGGTCCACCAGGTGAGAAGGTGAGTACATCAGATAATGTAACTTCTATGTGTACATTTTCTTCTTCTACTTTGTTTTTTTTTCCTCTCACTGCCATGTCCCAATAATAGTCCCAAAAATATATGTTCAAAAGCAACACCAATGTTTCTTTGTTGTGTTCAAAGATTAGTTCAAGTCATTTTTATTTGTATCGTCAACTACTCAAAAATGTTGGGCTACGATTGTCCTAAGCTCGCAATCATTGAAAAATTGTCTTGAGGCTTAAAGAACCCTACAAGGAACTGACCTAATTTAAAAATATTATTTTAAAAACAATCCCTGTTTCATATTTATTTTGCATCAGCTGATTCTGTTTTGCTTATATATGGTGAGTGAGAGAGAGAGAGAGAGAGAGTAATTGTTTATTTCATATAATGGACTGAAAGCAGAAGCAGAGCTAATGCCAACTAGCCAGAAAATAAATGCCATGGTACAAGGTAACAATGCTAACACAAAATCTCATTCACAAAAATCACATCTTGTTCTCTGCACTGGAGGTCATGATGCAAACCCTACACTTTCTGTTACACCACTCAGTATTTTTGAACAAATTCAACCTCCGTTAGTCAGTCGACATATGTAACTTTTGTTTCAACGAGATTTTCTTTTTTCTTACACAAGAGACATTCATCTTCACCTAACATTTTTTTATGTACAAAAGCGTTGTGTTGGGAGAGATTCGGGCATATGGGGACAGGCACTTGGAGGGCAACTTTTTGGGTCTTCTGGATAAATTAGCCAGTTCACTTATATCGCTGAGTAAATTTACGTTAGTAATGCTAAACGCGAGTGTAAGTGGAAACAGTGCCGTCAACTGTGCGTTTTCAGATATGGAGTAAACTTTAAAAAAAACCTATGCACGCAGTGCGCAACGGAGTTAATAGATAATGCTCTAAAACGAAATAAAAAAAATTAAATATTATGAATTATATTATAAACCAGGGCTGTAATCAACCTAAGAAAGTGTAAGTCGACTAAGGCCGTAAAATCTCGACTAACTAGGGGGCGCAGTGCTTGGTCGCATTCCCCGTCTAAATTAATTATAAATGAACATAAAGGCCAGTAGTGTATTTGCTTTATATTAAATCGGTTTGACCTGATCATTTATTAAACAAACCAGATCAAGCTCATATGATGTATTGCATCTGTGCCCTGCCTTTTCAGTTGAGAATTCACTTAATGTTATTTTCTAGTACTTGCAACTTTGCAAGTACTCTGCAGCACTCCTCCCATTAATATGGAAATGTTCATTGTAAATTTATTGTAGTAATCTGTAGCACAAATTTTCAACCTTTTATTTGTTTATTTATTTTAAATTTTTTATGTCATCCTTCTATTTTTCCTGTCTATTTCCTCACATCTTGACACCGTATTATTTTTCCTGCCTGCTGTGTGAATCGTGCTGGTGTGACGGCTACACTTGTAACGCTTCTTGCTTTTAATTGACATGTTGATAAGGAATCACGTCCATAAATGTCAACCACTGTAATATTAGGAAGTCTTAACACCAGGGCTTATCTTTGACGTGCGCTTTAGTGACCGAGTGCCTTGGTTTGTCTGAAGGAACATCCTTCAAAGCAGACCTCGTCTTGGGTTTTTGGGAATGATTTAATAACTTGCTTGAAAAGGTTTCACTTGAGCATCTTTATTGGTTTAGTCTTGCCTGGTTAATCTTTTTTTTTTCTGCAGCAGCAGGGAATAAAATCAACAACTGAGAAAAATTGTTTTGTTAGGCACTGTTTTTATTGCCTTCCGTGACAACCCCTGCCCCTCCCACGCACAGAGATTAAAAAAACACACTCTTTATTCGAGCAAATTTATTCAGACACAGTGCATTTCTTAGCCTCTGACCCTAACCTTAACTCTTACAAACAAGTTTTATATTGCCAGGGGCAACCATGTTGCAGCGGATCCGCTGTTAACGCAAGAGTAGCTATACCAGGAGGACACACAAACGCACCCATTCTTAGCACTGATAATGATCGATAACGTCATAAAAATCTTTTGGCAAAATGTCATCCAAATGATCCGAAGGAAGTCTTTGTTGAATCTAACAGAGCAGTTCAAACAACACAAGCACAACCCACAATCCACTGGGCCTTGGTACGTTTGAGTGACGTGCGGGACACAAACATGGAAAAAGACCATGAGAAAGAACAAATACAACCATGGCTCCATATTGGTGAAGGGCTTCAGAATGAACTCCGTCCACCAACACCTTGACCTTGTTTATTTTTGGAACAGCTATTATTTTTTTATAAATACATTTAATCTGCCTGATGAAAATTTTTATGCTCTATAGAACAATTCAGTTCAGAAAATCTTCAGAGAGCTGCTTATTGCCACAAAAACTTAAAAAGAGAGCTGCTTATTGCCACAAAAACTTTAAAAATTGTCAAAAATTGTCTCTCCAGGGCTCGGCAGGGGAGCCAGGTGTTCCCGGGTCGCCAGGCATGGGGTTGCCTGGTTTCAAAGGTCATAAGGTCAGAAATGAACATGAAATTAATAGGTTTAATGAGTAATGATATGCTATCATAAAATCTACCTCTGAACACAAAGGTGCCACTGTATAAGTTATACATACAAACGTCACATTGTCATTTTAAAACTCAAAGATTTTTATTTTGTTCCATGTTGTTTTCAGGGCGACGATGGCGAGAAAGGACCTAAAGGAGATCAGGTACTATTATTTATACAGTAAAAACCAGAACAGACATGTTTGCCGTTACTGAGCAACCACTCAACAAATGAGAATCTCTAAGTCTCTAGTCTTCCCAGTCAATGTGCTATGAGAGTTAAGTCTGATTTCTGAAGAATAAAAACTAGTTGACCATCTAAGGATTTCCGACAAGTAGTTCTAACTTTATGAACGTAAGCAGCTATCTTTACGGTTGCTTTAGAGTAGGACTGTGAACTGGTATGTGCATGGGCCATTTGGTACTGGGCTGCAGTAAAATAATTAACAATTGACTTAACTGCTTAAAACTAGAGATGTCCAATATTAGCATAATTATGTAATATCTCTAAGAATCTTGATCCGTGTTTCGTCTGATAACGAAAACCCAAACGCAATACCACTACCCCGCTTTATCGGTATCAGTTGATTTCGGACTCGGAAGTCAAGTCTTTGGACAATATCGGCATATCAAATATTGGCAAAAAGTTATTATTAGACATCCCTATGCCTTAAAATCACATAATTTCCAATGACGTTCATTTAAAGTTAACATCACATTTTTCACAATAATATGATTTTCAGTCACAAAACAAACAGAATGAAGTCTAGAGGATGCATTATTTGAAAAGTATCAATTGTTACCAATCCTTCAACCATCCATCAGCGTAGTGCAAGCAGCCTTTTTTGAAATTTCTCTTCTTTATCCTTTGGTATCCATTGCTAATCTGTTCTGAAATTCAAATGCATTTGCTGCACTGGCTCTAATTTATTATCCCGGCCTTAAGGTTCAGTAATGTCAGATGTTTTTAAGCCTTAGCTGCAGCTGCTATGAGTCAGTGTATCCCAAGGTGTTGATGATGCTGCGAGCTGTTTTATTGGGTGGGAGGCAGACGAAGAGAAAATCTATAAACAGCAGAGCTGTGCATCTTTGCCTTAAAAGAAAACTTAATTTGCACATTGATATATGGACTTCAATAATATTCAGAGGGGAAAAAAAAAAAAAAACTTCAGTATTGACTGCCTTTTTCCTCCTCACCTGTGGAAAGAAACAGACCGCATATTTAAAGAAATTGCATACATTTGTTATTGATTAATTTATTATAGCATATATTTTCTCAGCAATACCTTGACAGAGGCGATGCCTTGAGTATACACGAGCAGCCCATTTGGCAAGACGTGCACATATTATTGTTCTTAGCTCACAGTGTGTGATTAAACTGAAGGTGAGCCACAAATGTTTTGAAGTTTAGCAAGCTCTAATTGGTCTGTTATTCTCTAGTCTGTTCAAAGTCCAAAAAGTGCTTTGAAACTACTTAAGTTACACTTACTAGAAAGTGACGGGCCATCTTAAAGATGAATGATCAAAGAAAAGCTGATTTAATTAAATTGATTATGGGTTTTTTTTTACTGATCTTAGTGGGGAAATTCTCATGTGGATTTATGAAAAGCTGGTGCAACAGCGATCTGCTGGCATATTTTCACTTTTATGACCACTGATTAAAGTGAAGGAAGAAAAAAAAAAGTGTATCAGATGATGAGAGCTGCAACCATATTCGTGATTCAGCAAAGCTAAAAGCATGGCGTTACACTGACTTACATCAGCTGCTCTTCTCCTACCATTGCAAATGTGGAATAAATCAGGAGTTAACAGTCAAAGCATGGTATGGATGATCCGCTTCAGTTGCTCACTTGTATATGTGCCGATGAGAAAAAAGAAAAAAAAAAAGAAAAGAAAAACAGTGCAAAGGCTCAGAGGAGCAAGGAAAAGATGAGCAGTAGGTTAGGGTGCAGCAGGATGCAGTTGCAAAGCCACGTGTGCGAGATAAAAAGTCAGGTTTGTTAAAGGTCACTGTTAGCCATTTCCAGTTCCCTCTCTCCCCGGGTTTTCTCTTATTGGCTGCTAGTGGTAATCATGACCTTTTCTTCTGCTCACACACTCGCAGAATGAAGACATGGACCAGCACACATAACTAACATTGACACACTGCCGTTATGTCTCTGAGTGGGCACAACCTCAAGCAAACACACACTCACGTACACTAAGAGAGACACCCACACACACACAGACTTAAACAAACTCCAACCTTCAGTTAATCTTGATTCATGTCTCTGCAGGGGCAGAGAGGCAGAGATGGAGAGCCTGGAATTCCTGGTCTGCCGGTGAGTCAATGCATTCTTTTTCCACTGGGTGGCAGTGACGCTCGACTTACTGAAGGTTTAACAGTTATATAGAGATTGAAAGCAGCTACAGAAAACCAAAAAAAAAAAGTCCCCACAAGGGCATGATGGTAAGAGACTATTAAATGCAGTACTCATTTAAACTAGAGCTAAATTTAGCCTGTGATAGACACGGTTTGTTCTATAGTAATTTTCAGATGAAATAGAGTCAGAAAAAAAACCCCTTGTTTTGATCTTTAAAATTCAAAGTGTTTAGAGTTTATCATGATTATTTCAACAAAATAAAACATAATAATTTGTCATTTCTCATGGACACATCATAAAATTGTGTTGGCTTAACCCATTCCTGGAGAGCACTGGTTGCTTTCAGAATTACCCAGCGGACCTTGCTCAACTCACAACACACAGATGGCCAAGGCAGGACACGCCGCCTAGGCCAGCTGTGTGACGCAATCCTCTGATAACAATCCCTGAACTCCTTACTGCTCAGTTCTGGGACAGCAGTGCAGAAAAAAAAAAAAAAAATACAAACGGCAGATAAAAGAAAAAAAAAAAAAAAAAAAACGAACGGCAGATAAAAAAGTAGACCAATAAAACACAAACTGGGAAAAAGAAAATGTTAGCTTTGGACAATAAATCAGGTAAATACTCGTCTGAAAAAGTCAGCTTTCACAAGGGGCGATACAGGAGACTGGACCTGAACTAATTGGATCCGAAGGTTCCTCTGCCCTTAAGGCACAGCTACCAGTGGCTTTAGGGTTTAGCCACAACCCCAAGAAGCATTTAAGGGTCGTATTTTCATGTTTCTAAATCTTTTTTCACTAACAGTAAAACATTTTTGCAGACGCTATTGCAAACAATCAATATGAACAGACACCTGGGGAACATTAAGGCAGTCCCTGAGGGGCTGAAGAAAGGGAAGCAGTTCAAGGGCTTATGTTGGAAACAAATTTTGCATTTCGAAATGATGTAAGTTTAATCGTTTATGAACATTGAACTAATTCATGTTTGAGAATCCTCAAATTGAGAGCATTGTCAAAAGTTATTGGGAAAATCATTTTGAACGTCTTGGGTGCGAGGTAGAATTGGATTTTAGCAGAGAAGCTAATTTGACTTATTTGGCATAATTATCCTTATTGATATCATTCCCAGCATAAGTAATTGGTAAGGAAGGAGTGTAGGGTTTTCAAGCTGATGTAGTTGATGAAACCATGATCCGAAAGACAGGCTTTTAAATGGATATTTTTTAATTGAAACAACACAAAAGGACCTGAATCAATTGCTAAGTATCTATTACCGAGGCATTGATCTTAAGGCGTGTGGGCAGGGATTGCACAAGGAATTTAATCAAGAGTTGTGAGCGTGGTTTCTGTGTGTGCATGCAATAAAATCTATATCACATTACATACAGAGTGAAATGTGTTTTCTAATAACACAGATAAATGCACTGTAATGTTCTCAGTATTGGAAACATTTTCTGGATGAGCCAAAGTTGCAGTATACTTTTTAAGCAAAGTTTGATCTGTGCCTGGACAGACCTTTGGATTGAAGGAAGACATTATAGAAATCAGCAGTTTTCAATGTGGGAGAAAAGAGGAATCGTAATTTTTTTTCATTTAATTATAACAATTTGAAAAAACTGCCATAATTATCTGATTCTCAAATTTCAAAATGGTATCTGAACGCACCTCATGTGACAGCTTCATCTTCATCATCTGTGTAGTTTTTGCCTTTTAGCGATGCTAGTGTGTAGCTAGTTATGGTGCCCAAAATGGACAGGTTTTTGATGAGAAGTTTATTATTCCGTGAGAATGCACAGTACAGAAAATACTTTTCTTACGCTAAAGAATTGTAATAATTACTGAATAGTGAATAAAAAAAATAGAAACACATTCTAAAAGTTGATGTTTCTTTACATATTTTGGAGCATTTTTTGGTGGGTCCCCAGTTTGAAACCAATAACTTAAATTGAAAGTGAACCAAAAATGCTTAAGTGCTAGAACCGCTTAAGTGATAACCCAACAAACATGACTGAGCAGAGATTTTTGTTTGATAAAGCCATTTTTGGTTGTGTCGTGAAGAAAAAAAATGTAATAGAATGGAGGACAGGTGGTTATGGATTTTGCATAGAGTCTATAGCTGTGATCGATTCTGATTATGAGGAAGGAGAGTAACTGTAAGCCTTAAATGTATAAGAGTGGAGGAAACTCACAGGTGGATAATGTCCTGCGCAGGAAGTGGAACTTGAGAAAGGTGGGAGATTGTCAAGTGGTGCCAGGGGAGACTGTAGAGTGTGATACTTTTCTCGTTTGGGCTGCTGATGGACAGAGTGACTGATGGATGAGGTCAGACAGGAGGCTCCACGGACGATGATGTCCGCATATGACATTGTAATCAACGGGTAAAGGTAGACAGCAGGTGGAAGCTGGAACAGCGGAGGTCACTACCGGAGAGGAGAGAAATGGAGGTCCGTGTAAACAAGATAAAATACATGTGTTTAAAGGCCAGAGACACGGGTTGAAAGATGGAGTGGCATGAGCTTGCAGCAAAAGCACTCTGGAATCAACCGTGTAACACAGTCGTGGGTGCAGAACAGAGGTGAGGAAGAGAGGGGCGAGGGCGAGTTTGAATGGATGGGGCCGAGCGTCGGGGGTAATGTGTCACAAAAGGACAGCAGCGAGATTGGGGAGACGAGACTTGCGACGATGTATGGGTCTGAGAGAGAGGCAACGCTTAGATTGATACAATTTCACTGAGAATGACCGGGACGAGTATAAGAAAGAAGCAAATTCGAGTAAATTCGTTTTTAATTAGTGTACAAGTCAGAGAGCCCGGGTGGGGAGGGTTTGGACATGATCTGAGCAGAGATAGTGGATATATTGGACAAAGGATGTTAGCGATGGAGCTGCCAGGCAGGGAGAGAAGAAGAACACCAGAGAAGATTTATGGGTGTAGTGAAAGAGAGCATGGAGACGATTGGTTCAACAGTAGAACAGGCAGGAGGTACTGTGCGTGACCCTCTTAGGCAGAACCAGACCTTTTTTTTATCTCCACTGTAGCATTTTGCATTCTCTGTTTGTTGTAGTATTTACTACAGTATAAGACATACAGTATAGCTAAAGTGAAAATGGTTCAGCAACATTAACCACCAAATGATCAAATTTGAGTTATAAGAGAGAGAGAAAAAAACACAATGGGGATACATACTGCAATTTTCCTTGCAATATGTAGTGCAAGTATTTCTCAATAACTGATGTTTCAAATCTTTCAGAGCAGACAATAAAGGGGTTCATTTAGTTCTTCTTCTGACATAAAGGAAGACTGTAGTTGTACTAAAAGGTACTGGATTTTCTACTTGGTGTGGAGTAATGATGCTCTTTTTGTCTTTAGTCTGCATGTGTTTTACTCGTGCCTTTAAACTGAGAAGAGACTAACACGCCGTCAGGGCCAAGGCAGAGCTTCAGGTGTTTTATTAAATTGCTCATATCATAACAGGAACTCCCGACGTTTCTGGCCTCTTTAAGTAAACCACGCACAAAGGCAGACAGAGGTGACTGTGAACTACACTAGGAAAACACTTCAGCCTGGCTGAACAGTACGGGGTAGTGATGGGAGTATGGAATACTTTTGTGAAGTACCGATACCAAGTGATAAATGGAAAAGGCGAATGCGTCACTTCGACATCTTTTAGGGTATCTCACTGCATGCAGGCTTTTGTGCTGCAACACCCCTGGTAATGTCATGTGACCACTGACCAGAAGAGAGCTGTGACTCAATGTCACTAGACATTTTTGTCCCATATGGTAGTAGCAGAAGAGAGCTGTGACTCAATGTCACTGCCCCACTAGACATTTTTCTCCCTTATGGTAGTAATGAAACTATTTAGGTCACAATTTGTAAAAAAAAAAAATGTAATTTTTTTGTGATTAATATCCTATGTTAAATGCATATTAAAGTTGCTAAATGGCGAGGTATTTGAAATGTGTTTTATTGGGTTAAAAAAATCCAGCAAAGCATTGATATTGGGATTGGTTTCGAATAAAAAGCCTTATCAGTATTGAACAGAATTCAGCTTCCGTTTTTGGCATCTCCTCCTTCAGGTCTTATAATTACATTTTCCAGGCAAAAGAGAAGAAGAAACTGGTTGTAGGACAATCACAATGATTTTCACCTTAGAACAAAATTAGGGAAAAGATAAAAGAACAAGTTTAGATAACTGTTCGATGAACCGTGTCCCCCAGATGTAACAAGGCAGAGGATGGTTCGGCATCTGCTATGCAGAGCAGTGAGCCTTGCTCCTCTGAAACCCCTGCTCCAGCCTTTGATATGTAAGCAGAACTTTCTAACCGTCTCTCTTTACTTCTCTCTCTCCTCCCCTTCATCCCCCTCCCAACCCCATTTTTGCTCTCTTTTCTTTTCCTCCATCAGGGTGAAGTGGGACCCAAGGGAAGGAGCGGAGAGGTTTGTCGAATTAGACTTTGCAGTATGAGATATAATCCATTCCGTCTTATTCTGCACCACAGCAAGAGGCCCTGTCAAACCAGCACGGCTGCTGTAGAAGACTTGCAGAACCAATACCTCAAGGCCTGGGAAATGTGGTCCTGCGGGCAGAAATATACATCATAACAGCGCTCATTCCAAAGGGTCATGTGTCTGAAATATCAAACACTTACAATAATGTCTGCAGAATTACTGCCTTTGGAGATTGAGCTACACCCCCTCAATTTACCCAGCCAAATAAATTTAATGTCATACCTTATGTGTGCCAAACTGTTTCACTAAGAAAAACCCAATTAGAACATCTCAATTTAGTTAGAAGAAAATTAAAGTGTGAATGGGAGATATTGTCCGATCCAGCTACATTTGATAATGTCAGCACAGTCATCAGTTTAGTAATTGCGGAAGCGTGAGCAGGTTGCAAAGAAAGACTGTCCAAGCTGACGTGTTTCGCCCTTGACTTGCTTACAAATGAGAGTTGGTGTTAACGGCTGATCAGGTCAAGAGAGGTAGACTTCCTCTGGCCACCTTGACTCTGACCGAGGGATTCCAAGCATTCCGAAGCTTGGAATGAGATGATACTGTACTGGATAATCTCTCTCCCTGGTCACTGCCGCTCCATAATAAACGACTGCGGTAAATGTGAAATATTTCGTGGTTACGTCACCATCCCCCATACATTTATTGAGAATCTTGTTACATCATTACATAGAATTTGGCATGGGAACTAGTTGGCGGGTGTTTTTGGCAAATACATTGTCATGCGGTGCCGTGTGCAAAAGATGGTGTGTTTACACTCACTGGTTGTACACCGTACGTTGGATTGTGTTACTTTCGTTTTCTTTTGTTCGTGTTGTTTGCATTGGGAATCTTTGCCCTTCATTATGACTCCCAAGTGTAAGTCAGGATCTTCCTATGTTACCACTGAGTTAGCATAGATGAGTGATATTGGTACTTGTAGTATGCGAAAACGTCACGCCGTAGGAACAAAACGCTCGTCAATGACTTCCCTTATCTTGTTTAGCTCTGTCTTAACCACAGATTAATATGGAAACACTTGTTGAGAGAAACAAAGTACTACTTGTTGACATGCCTGCAGCCTAACCTTGAAACAGTCAGTCATTTTTCAATGCATATCTAACACCGGGGTTCCTCCCCTGGCCCCCAGTGGAGTCGTGACCCCTCAAAGCCGTTCAAGGCTCTGCATTAAAAATGAACCAAGTGTGGGTCTCATAGATGCTAACACGAATCCCAAACGATTTGAGACACACAACAGAAGTGCACAGCAGCCACTGAAAAGATGTCATTATTGGATCAGGTTGTTTCGATTTTTTTAAATTTTTTTTTTTTCGCTCAGGGAACTAATTATGTTTTACTGCCATTTTTATGGAGACAGTTAAAGATGTTTTCAATTTAATACATTCTCAATTCGTCACATTTGTGGGCAGATTACGCTGATTTGTAATTTTGAGTCTCCAGTTCGGCAAGAATTGCACTTTAAGTAGACTTCAGTGACATGTCAATTGGCAGGGGCGGCCCTGCAAAAAAAAGAAGGCTGTGGATTTATCGTTATTTCTTTTATATTTATCAGACAGTAAAAAAAAGTTTTAAAATTATGTTTAGGTCGTTCATAGTAATTAACATCATTAATTACAATTTGCAGTTGACGGTACTACAGACACAATCTTAATGGCATCTTCGTTAAGTATAAAAGCATGGCTTTGTCTGCTATTTTTTTTTTATTGTTTTTCTTCCTACTGCATTTCCAGAAAGGTGGACCCGGTGATGTAGGACAGAGGGGCCCTGAAGGAAAAAAAGGTGACATGGGTCACATGGGCCAAATAGGTATCGTGGGTCCTAGGGGATTTCCTGGCCAAGATGGGTTACCTGGACAACCAGGCCAGCCAGGATATCCTGGAAAACCTGTGAGTAAAACTCACTTATGACTTTGCCCTGTTGCAGAAACAGAAAGAAGATAAAATCAGTAATTTCCTGTCTCTGCAATGGGAGTTATGTTTCAGTGTACAGGAAGTGCTGTCAGGGTGTCGGTTACTGCATGTGAAGAACGGAATGTCGGATCTTGTTAAACTGTGATGCAGTCTAAATCCTTGAGACGCTGAAGGCAGTAAAATGTGGACCTGTGTTGCAGGGCAAGCCTCCCTCGGATGAGCATTTACTGAAGCTCTGCACAGATGTTCTGCGTAGTAAGTGCCTGTTTTTCTGTTATGTAACTGGGATCATTAGGGGTTATTCGAATCTGCAGTTTAACCCGTCCAAGGTAATTCTGTCAATCAGTAACCTGGATTGTTGATAATCTTAGAAAACAGGATCAGGGATTTAATACTGCACAGATTGTCAAAAGTTGAAAGACGAATTTCGACATTAGACATGTTCTTTTTATATATTTTTTTTTCTCACGTTTCATTCGTCTTCAGATACTTAATTCAATTTATGTTCTACAGCGAGCAGATCTCAGCCACCGCACTTATACACATGAATCTGATTGTAAGAATTCTCCTTGGTTAAACTGGTTAAATGTATTTGTTAAAATTATTATTATTATTACTTTTTTTTCCCTATCTAAAAACACCAGATTTCATACATAAAAGTGAAAACCCAGCTGTTTTAAAATACTATTAACCTCAGTTGATACCATATTAATATTATATTACCTTATGGTGTTATTCCTGCAGACCAGCTCCCAGCACTCCTCCAGACCTTGGCCCCCACAGGTAGATGTGAACCCTGTCTGAACACTAAAGGCTCCCCAGGTGTGCCCGGAGCACCTGGTCCCAAAGGATCAGTGGGAACCCCAGGCTACCCCGGCAGGAGGGGAGCTCCTGGATACCAAGGACCTCCTGGATTCCAGGGTCCCGCGGGGCTGAAAGGTGATACGATGTTTTAACATTTGAATTTAAGGCGTTTGCAACAATGCCTTGATGTTTTTTCTGGGTGGTGCCTTTCTTGACTTATAACTCATTTACATGCCTTGTTTTTGTGATTTTTGATGAACAGTTAATATCGAACTGACATTATTGACTAACGAAACTTGACAAGTTGTCAAGATAATAAAACAAGTGAACATCGGTCCAAGCCAGCGGAGCAAAAGACAACAAATGCTGCATTAATGCATCCCTATGAGCCAAGTGCTCTATGATTTATCACCACTCTGAGACGGAACGGCTGATCAGCGGTGAAAGATGCCAAAATACTACTGTGCTCTTGTCGACTGCTTTAGCAGGTGAAGTTAAGAGTAGAGCAGCTTTGGAAATGTCAGGAGCAGTTAAAAAACACAAGGGAGCTGAACGCAAAGGGCAAGGTCGTGCGGCAAGTTGTGTATAGCCGTGTTTTAACATCGCAAATTTCTAGAATTGTTTTTCTAGAATTAGTTTTTGAACCTGGTTGTTATACTGCATCGCACATACAGAGTAGTGTAGGAACTAGCTGTCGCTTGTGCAGTCAGGTGATCGCAGCCATCAGTCAGGATGCACTCATCATTTTTAAAATCTTTCATAGTAATTAGTTCAAAAGATATTTTTATCGATCAATTGCTAGACATTACTGGCAATCCCCTTTGAATTCCAGACGATCCCACGTAGCGTTGCAACCCCAAGGTTGAAAAACAATACAGGAGAAGTACTGCTTCAGTGTAGAACCTGTAGGTATAATTCCATCCTAAATACACAACATTTCAAATGTAAGGAATAGTATTTGTGCATCATAAATGTCTTTATGAGAAAAACTTTATACTCACTTTTATGCTCAGTTGTGTTTAAAGCGTTTAAGGCAGAAATCTTCGTCACTACTTCAAATAACTTTCTTCAGATAGTCAATCAGACACGGGGCCAAAATTAAGGACTGACTGTAATAATTGCATGATCGATATTTATTAATAACGAGAGGTCATAATAAAAAATTCAGAGTGAAAATCCAACTCACTGACTGAAGAAGAAGCGAGAACAAATTTCCAATGAAAGACACATCACTGGCCTTTTTACGTTAAAAGTCTTTTTTCCTCACAAATTCAAAACAACATTAATACTGCGATGTTTTACTGAGATTGTGCTGTATATTCAGATTTTTTACCCTGTTCTCCAATTTGGTTAGATAAGGCAGTGCATCTTGCGTTATATACTTTGAGCTTCGCATAAAAGAGAACAGGTTTCCCCATTAGGCTAGTGAACGGATACTTTGCCTCCCATCTAGGGATAGTTTAATAGTTTGCCGAAGTTGAGTGTATTGCTGATTAATGTACCTCACTGACGAGGTCTGCTACTGCAATTCAGTCTGGGATTCATAGTATCAACGGTGTGTATGCAAAACACCTGTGGGCGATTTTGTTTGATACAAATAATTATCATGTGGACCGGATAGAATCGGTAGAGTTGAGTCTGACGTGACGTAACCCTGCTTTATTTATTCATGTCACATTATCTTCATAAGAGTCTTTTTCTGATAAAGCATTGAACATCGGAAGACAAATAATGTTTCGTGTACAATGTGGAAACCGGACATATTCTGTACAGATTTATTGTCTCCTTCAGTTTTCATCACTGGGCCCGTTTTGATCCTTCTCTTACATATCGAGAGTCTTAATAGAAGCCTGATATTAGATCCCAGAGAGCCGTTTTTTTTTTCTTTCTTTCCCTGTGTACTTTTGTGTAAACAGAGCCTGGGCAACAAATTTTCGGCCTAACACAATTCTCTCTCCCTGAATGTTGTGTCTACAAAGTTTCAGTGGAGAGCACGCACTTCTCCAGTCTGGTAATCGATGGGAACTTTGTAAAGGCAGACTGCAGCCGATTGTTTAAAGGCACTAAATGAAAGAATAATATGTTTTCAGCCGCATTATTTACTTCACCATCTGGACGGACAGACATTTCCCAAGACGATACTTTAGACGGTGGGGAGCTGCGCCACACCAACAGCATTCTGCTGCCTAGTGCATACAGAAGCTTTTTTACCCACACCGGAACAGCCCTGGGGGTGTCGGTGTCGATTAGTCAGTCTGACAGGGCACCATATTGTTTCACATCGAGGCTCATGCTCAGCGTGTTTGCTTGGATTAACATGAGCTCCGGTCTGGAGCAATTGCTCCGTCAGTGCTTATTCTAAGCATTGTTATTATGGTGTCCATTCTGGAGTGAAAATTATATGCACAAAATACGCCCCCTGTGAAACAAATTGGCTAACGATGTCTGTCTTTAGAGATTCCAACTAATTAGGCAACATTCTAACGTTACGTCTGAGAGTCACATGTTGCCTTTCAGTTCAGCCCTTTACCTTTCCCCTAAAGCCAGAAATGTTTGAAGTAAAGGGTTGTGGCCAAGAAAATGTTGTTGTTTTTTTTTTTTTTCAGTAGTGCCAGCAAAAGAGAAAAGGCTGAAATGTGCAAAAATAAATGAGCAGAACTAAACGAGTGTAGAAAAAACACGGCAGTGACTGTTGGGATCAGATACTAATGTCTAAGCCGAGCAATCTGTTGAGCAGTTCTTTTGGCCAGGGGTTTAGCTCAAACTGTGATGCCATAAAGGCACACCTAGGTGGGTAATCAAAGGAATAGGCGTTATTAGTGTTTGATTAGCACCAACAGAGCCCAGACTTCATTAACTTTAAGAACTCTGAAGCAAAATGCTAAAAAACAATGATAGAGGCCATAAACTCCTCATCAACATGTTTAATTACAAGTGAAAACTAGAGTCATTTTGCCTGATCATATGGACTACTTTTGCAGCTAATGGCATTAGCCTCCTGGTGGCTAATCGCTAAACAAAATACTCTACATTAGTCCTTGAACTAATATCACAGTTATGTATTTAACTATATAACAGTTATACTTGTGCTTTTACTCCCATTTTTGTATGCTAATTCTGGATCTAACATACTGAGATTGTCTTAAAATAAATTTTATTCAGAGGATTAAAGTAACAATGCTGTGAATCTTAAGGGGATATTACTAGTGTAAACCCACTCACTTTTTTTCATTTTTCATCTTGTTAAACGGTTCTGTGGACAGCATCTGTGTAAGCATTTACAAACGATGGTCAACTTTCATTAAAAGCTGAATGTACAAAATATATATACATATTTTAAATAATTAACTCACTTTAATTTCGTGAAAGCCTCAAGCCACTTGTAAAACACGGATCCAAACGTAGCCTTTTACGATCCCGACGCTCTGTACCTGACGGCTCATTTTTTAGAGGTTCTAATTGAATTAAAACAGACACATTATGTCTTCAGGTGACATGGGACTAAGGGGACCTAAAGGCGGCAAAGGTGAAGGTTACCGTGGACCTCCAGGACCACCAGGGCAACCAGGTAAGAGAGAATCTCCACATCATCAGATGATGTTTTAGAATTCGGAATATAAAGTCAGTCAATTTCAAATAAATACTGTTTTGTGGTTGTATTGTAAAAGGTACTCTTGTTAACCAGTTACCTTTACCTCAAACTATTATAATTTCTGATCAATTTTTGTCTCTCTAGGAATTCAAGGTCCTCGTGGCTTCGATGGACTCGGCCATCCGGGCAACCAAGGAATTCCTGGAGAGCCAGGGCCGCCAGGAGACCCCGGTAAACGAGGCGACCCAGGGATCCCGGGGGTGTGTGATGTTTCTATGTGTTATCAGACCTACAACCTCAGGGAACACTACAGCAAAGGACCCAACATCTGAGCTGACGCACCAGCGTGGGAGAAGCTGCTTTGGATTGAATCTCCCGTGGGTTTTAAAAAAAAAGTGATCCACTGTAGTTTGGTCTTACTAAAGTGCACGTGCGAGACTGTTGTCACCTTTTTGAGCAGCTCCACCAAGGAAAGATAAAAGCGAGAAATCGTCCGTGCTTTGATTCATGATTAGGAAGTTCATGATCAAATCAAAGACAGTAGCAGCAACTGACTCAGAACACCAAGCCGACATGAACTTCATACTTTAAACTTGTTAAAGTGTTACTGCAGGTTCAAACCAAAGTTTCTGATCCTCCCAGGTAAGTTTGATGAGCACCAGTGTGGCTGTTAGCTAAGGTGTGCTGTGTTCAGTCAGAGGTAATGAGTTAAGGGTTGGAAAATCTACAAAACGGCTACCTCCACTTTTACTAATGTCTTTATTGACCCTAAAGGAAAACTTGTTTTGGGATTTAAGGGTAAGTTTTTGCACAACTGCACCAACTGAATGCCTTTTTGTCTACCAAACAAAATACTGTGGCCCTAATGTAGCATAAAAACTCCTTTGCTGATGCTCGATATCTGGTGCTTGTGCTTATTAATTTCCATGTCATAATAAAACCATAAAAAATTCAATTATAAATTATACAGTAGAACCTCCCCCACACCCTACATACTGTGCCTTTAATGATGCAGAAAGTCTCAGGTCATAAGAAAAGATGATTAGTCTGCTATCATAAGAAGTGCAGTCAAATTTCAACATGCTGGCAAACAACTACAGTTAACCTAAAGGGGTCAGGTTGTAATTAAATATAACCAGGTGGGATTCTTGCATATATACTGTATATATATATATATACACTTTTCTGTGAGTTTATGTCGCTTTAAAATTGCCCTTTTACCCCCCCCCCCACCACAATTAGTTTGGTTTCAGTTTCAGACTGTGTATTTACAAAATTATTGAATTGTTTATTTGTGTATTTTGACAAAAAATGTTTTGTTAATGCAACTTCTTTTATTTAGTCAACGGTTTAAAACTAAAATTCAGATTTCTTTTTCGTGGTCTTTTCCATTGACTTTCATTGCACATAACATTGGTTGAGTAAAGTCGAATGAAGTCTTACATGAAGCCAACACCCTCCCATTAGGATGGAAATATTAGGCCAAAGCTGGATTTCAACCAGGGATCCAAAGTATGACAAAGAACTGACCACACCCTTAACCTCCCTTTGTCTGGAAATCAGATAAAAATAAGGTCAGATAAAACAGAAATTTCAAGAGTGGGTTGTTGTATTAAAATCTGCACATAGATTTTATTTTGAGTTTAGCTCTTTAGAATTCAAACAAAGCAGTCATTGTTGGACTCCCCTCTAAACTTTTTCACCAGGGCTGAACTTTGTGAAACAGCTGGCATAGCTAAAAGATTAAACTATGAGTTAGTTTTGCCCCATTTGCTTTAATTTGTCTCCTCGCGGAGAGCGTCGCCTCTTCCGTGAGAGAGCGATGGTTTGCAGACAGTTGAGAGGGAGAAACTGATCAATCATGTATGTTTTTAAACAAACCGACTGCTTTTCCTAAATTCGCCGACTTATTCTTCCATTAGTGAACCGTCAGCTCATTAGAGCCGCTCTCTTTCTACGTTAAATGTTATTGACAGACGTTGCTACTAGAGAACAAGAGGAGGAGCGCTGCTTAGCACAAAGGGTATAACAAAGAAGCAGAGTTGTACAGAGACAGTCCTGATGTTGGCTCAGTGAGGGATGTTTCTGGTTCGTGGAGAGCATTAGTTTGTGTGGTTGTGTTATGCAATAGCACATTTATGTGGCTTGGGTTAGTCTTAGTTAGAACCATGATAACTTAGCTGTGCTTGTACTTGCAGTGAAATCACAGCTACCTGTCACGTGCAGGCATCGCAGGAAGCATTGCAGGAAGCAGGCAGGACCCAAATGCAGTACTGGAGAGACTCTTTCTGGTGCAGGTAGTTTATTTACAAGTGCAAGGCCAAAACAACAACAACAAAAAAAATCACTTCTTCACAAGACCAGGAACAAGGCATAAACCAGACAAGGAATAAACTACTAAGTACAAACTAAGAACTCAGAGGACACACTAAGCTGAGCACAGGAACAGATACAATGATTCAACACAATCACAATGAGCCAACACAATCACAATCACAATGATCCAACCACGACAGAGTGAGGGAGAGGGGTATATATACACAGGGAGCACCAGGTGACACAAGTGAAGCTAATTACCAACAAGTGAGTGTGATCCCACAGATTACCCCACACAGCAGACAGCAGGAAAAGGAAACAGACAGACATGACACTACCAGCCATAATACAAGGACATTTGGTCAAGGCCCTGTAAGAAAAGTCTTACCTTATAAAATCCTTACCTGTCTAAGTCAACTATATCTCACAGCACTTGCTGCTCTGTCTGGCTTTAAGACGGCCTTATCTGCCTGGGAACCCCTGCATTTTCTGATAAGCTTCTGTAGGTAAATCCACTGAAAAGTATCCAAATAACACAGGGGAGAAAGAACACTTTTTAAATGGTGCAACGACTTCCATGAAATGTAAATTATATATATATATATATATATATATATATATATATCTCATAATGATACATAATATATTTTCACCATTTAGGCTCAGGCATGAGATAGGGGGCTATAGTTTAAAAAAAAAATTTTTTTTCAATGTTCAAACCTGAAATTTTGCGATCCTGAGTATTGGCTCAAGCCATGCCAATTTTCTACCGACTTAAGAACTGGAGGACACGATCCAGAACTGAACCTGTTGTTAGAATTTTATATTTGAAATTCCCTGAAAAAGTTGCGTAAGTTGCGTTACTACATGCATATCAGTACTCTACATCCTTGTCCCTTCTCCCTTTTCTTGCCCATGCTGCCTCCCAAATTTTATACCCTCTGCTTTGGTTGATGTCCATTTTAAATGGACTGAAAATAAAAATGGACATTTATCTTTTTCCCTCAATTTGTCATGATTTAAACCGGTAATGACCCAAATGCAGGCTCAGACGACGTTAAGTGAGAAACAACGATTTATTTTCTAATTCAACAGGAATCACAAAGAACAATAGTTAAAGTCAATCTGATAGTTAGCTACCATGGTGGCTGAACAAACGATCTGACGACCAGTGGGAGAAAGGCCAGGGTTTTTTTTGCCGTCAGAGTGATGGGTTGATTGAAGGCAGGTGCTGAGGAATGGCAGGTGTGCTTCGATGATTAACCAGGCAGAGTAAGGGAAATTTGCCACGCCCACCACACAGACAGAGACAAGTGCACAACACAAGAATGGGGAAAACAAAGGGAAACACAGGGAAACACAGGGAACGACAGTCACGACTGTCATCGTGACACAATTGCTTTAATTTAGTGGTTTTCCATGGGATTTTGTCCAACTCTGGCAATATCTGAGGCAATGTCCTTCATTTGTTAACTTGTTTTAAAGGCCTTTCCTATTGGTGAGATAAGGTGTGGTTATGTTAAGATAACAAGATCTTTTTGTTTTTTTTGCTGCAGTCACAAGGAGGCAGATGGAAACAAACAACCATTCCTCAAAAAACCTGGATTACTTACTTGGATTAGTTCTCCAATAATCAATCATGCTTTATTCAATACCTCTCTTGACTTACCACGCAGATAGATAGATAGCTTACATCGACAAATAGTGAGTTAATCCAAATTCGAAACCTCTCTTGTGGTTTATACATCAATTGCTTTAGACCCTAACAGGTTAGTAAATGTATTATTATGGACGAAACCACAATTGATTTTTTTTTTTTTTTTTTTAGAAAAACACCCTTTTTGTTCAAACACTAAGTAGGCAAATATACTAGCCTTGCATCTTGGCTAAGGTTTCCTTACCTCTGGAACAGGACTCAGAAATTCCAGTTTGTATTTGGCTCTCCATTTTGACTGACTAACTTGAGCATGTTCCCTGTAGTCTGCCATGTTAGCTGTTGCCAGATTGCAATTGCCAGCTTTTTCTTCTTCTTCTTTTTTTTTTTTTACTTTGGCCCAGGCTTTTAAACAGGCAATCAGTCTGTGCCTTGTGCTCTCCAGATATAGCTTTGTGCATTGTGCAGGGTAGCCATGCTCCACGCTCGAAATCAACAATACCGCACCAACCTCAGTGAGTTCAGCACTTCATTTTTGACCTGCGTTATTATCCGTGTAGCACACATATTAAGACCTGGTACTGATTCATTACCAATACATTATGAGGCCACATTTTCGAGGTCATTAGTACCGTACATTCGACTAATACAGGAATAAGTACTAAAACACGAAAAAAGCGAGACGTTAATTTTCTCCGTTGGATATGGGAGATTTTTTTTTTCTTTTCTTTTTAAAGACAATCTTCAAAGGGAAAACACAGATGTAACATCCCCCCCTCTCTCTCTTTTTCTCCCTGTCAACCAGTTTCTAAACATGTTTCTGTTGCTCTCAGGTTGTTAATGTTCACTTGGCAACGTGTCTCTGTTATATGTACATCCAACTGTGATGTAGCCCTGGCCAATCAGGTCTGATGCAGTAAGAATGTACTGTACACACATTTAGCCATCAGCCCTGATGAAAGAGTAGTAATCTCAGACAGCGATCTCAGTTTTTTTTTTTGTCGGGTTTTTTTTTTTGTGATTGCAGTTCATTTGTTCTTTCAAACACATTCCTTTATTTTATAAAAAAAAAATCTGGTTGATGACTGTCATTGCGGCCTATTATGCCCATGTTGTGCTTCCAAATTTGCAGCTTAAACAGACATTTTTTTTAAAATATATATTTATTTTATCAAATATATTCCAACTGACTTCCAATGTCACCGCCCTAATAGGATGTGATGGAAAAAGTAAACCAATTTATTGTGTAATTTAACCTTCATAATCATCCTCTGGCAACAGGAATGTTAATTATATGTAACATTTTTGTTGAGCTATGTCTATAAGGAAAACCTTACAGAAATTTGCATCTTAAATGTAAAGACGTTTTCCTAACAGGACATTGAGCAGAGTTAATTTATTTTATATTCCTTGTTGGATTGCATTTTATTACAATGTTTGACTCAAAAATAAGAAGTGGAGAGTCCCGGAATGGCCAAGTCAAAGCCCCGATCTCAATCCCATTGAGATGATGTGGGGTGACTTGAAACTGGCGGTACATGCAAGAAACCCCTAAAATATCTCTTAGCTGAAAGAATTCTGCTTTGGGGAGTGAGGCAATCTTTCCTCAGATCATTGTCAGAAACTGGTAGACGGCTACAAGAAGCGTCTCACTGAAGTTATTTCAGCCAATGGGGGCAACACTAGCTATTAGGCGGTAGGGTGTCCTAACTTTTTCTTCTCCATTAAAATATGCATTTTTGTTCATATCTTTTGTTCTATGAGTAAAACAATCGTAATTGTTTTTCGTAAAATTGCTATTAAATCACTTTCTTTTCCATAAATAAATAAAAATAAGATTGGATACGTGAACATTTCTTAATAAAGAGCTGACTATTTAATGGGGTGTCCTAATTTTTTTCACTATATATATATATATACAGTATATACATGTATATATATGTATAAATAGATAGATGAGTACTGATCAAGTCACATGTTTCATACAACTCCCAACAAAAACTTTTTTGCAGCAGTACACTCATCGTCACATTACTTCTGCCTTTTGGGACTGACTAAGCTCTTGTTTTTTTCTGCTGGCCACAGTCTCACCTCTGCTGCAGTGACTTGAGTTTTAAAGGTGTAGCTGCCACCACTTCTGTCAGTGTCGGGGAAAATTTCTTTGTGTGAAAATCATTCTCTCGGTCCTTCATTCCCGAATAGTGATGCTGACAAATACCATTTTATCAATCCTGCCTGTGGAAGCGTGCTGTATTAAAATTATTTTTCAATTGCAGACACTGTTACATTTCTAAAGATGCAATAGATAAACTTCAGAATGGTGGCTAAAATATTGCTTTTACTCTTGCTTTCTTGAACCAATTTCTTTCTTTAACCAACTTCAACCATTTTCTTTATCCAACCAAGAAACAATAAAAATGTAAGATTTTATTTGTAATTGTTATGTGGTTTTGGGTTACTTTTAATAACACATTACCTTATGTTTAATGTGAAGTGTTTTGTATGATGATGTATTAAAATGATTTATATTGTTCACGGTTGAAATTTGTATTTTTAGGCAGTTACGACATTTATTTTCAGGTCACTAGATTAAAGGCCTTCATGAACTTTTAACCTTTTTTTTTCTTTTCATCTTTTTATAAGTGCTAAAACAGAGACATGCAGCTGTATCCAACCAAGAAACAATAAAAATGTAGGGTTTTTTAATAATGTATTTGTTATGCGTTTGGGTTACTTTTGATAACACAGTACCTTATGTTTAATGTGAAGTAATTGCAGACACTGTTACATTTCTAAAGATGCAATAGATAAACTTCAGAATGGTGGCTAAAATATTGCTTTTACTCTTGCTTTCTTGAACCAATTTCTTTCTTTAACCAACTTCAACCATTTTCTTTATCCAACCAAGAAACAATAAAAATGTAAGATTTTATTTGTAATTGTTATGTGGTTTTGGGTTACTTTTAATAACACATTACCTTATGTTTAATGTGAAGTGTTTTGTATGATGATGTATTAAAATGATTTATATTGTTCACGGTTGAAATTTGTATTTTTAGGCAGTTACTTGTATGATGATGTATTAAAATGATTTACATTGTTCATGGTTGACATTTTTATTTTTAGGCAGTTACAAGGACATTTATTTTCAGGTCACTAGATTAAGGCCTTCATGAACTTTTAACCTTTCTTTTTCTTTTCATTATCTTTTGTAGAAATACTAAAACAGAGACATGCAGCTTCTATTATTTTACTAGTAATGATGGTACTACTGAGTCTAACCACAGGGGGTCAAAATCGTCTTTAATTTTTTCCTTTGTACAGTGCTATGTACTTGCAGTAACTTAAATATAATTAGTAAGTGAACATTAATAGTTATGAATTAAACATTAATGACAAATTTGTATACTACGATACTATCTCAAAAGACGGTACTACTACAGTGTCTGTCCTCTGCCAAATTATTTTAAGG